TGGCCAAGCACGCCGTGTCGGAGGGTACAAAGGCGGTGACCAAGTATACCAGCTCCAAGTGAGACACCACATTGTACTGAGAAAAACACACATCCAAAACCCAACGGCTCTTTTAAGGGCCACCCACAATTCACTGAAGCAGCTGAACCATTTTAAGTTTGTAATTGATTTTGGGTCTATATAATTGATGTCCCTAAGCCTTGTGTTTCTTTTTATAAACGTTCTGAAGATTAACGTGTGGTCCCTGACTCTCTGTCCTTTATTCTCGGTTGCGGACATACCCAGTCTCTTTACTTTGCCTGGATATTTTTCAGCAACTTCTATATGTTCCAGTTACTCTTTAACCCTTGATCAGGGCAGCAGCTGCAGTGCCCCGTGGGGTATGATACTTGAGATTCACCCTCGGGGGAACCAAACTAACTGTTCGAGTCTCATGAATAGATTTTGCAGTTTACTCCTTTTTTTTTCAATTTTCAAAACTCCATGGAGGCTTGGTCTGATTTTTGTGGAATACTGTAAATGAGGCTTTCAGCTGTCGGTGAGAGGCTTTCAAAATGAACGGAGATAAAGCCAGATTAGCTGTCGGATTGCGATACCAAGTGTGAAACTGTGGCTGAAGTCTGATCAAGGACAAGAAGGGAGGGCAACTTCAAACTGTTGTTTAAAGATTTAACGCGCTCACCCGGAACAACGTTGTTTGTGGTTTTATAAGTACAAGTGCACCCTGATGTAATGTGAAAGTGAATTAAATTCAAAGAAAAATTAAATTATTCATTCCTCTTTGCAAAACTTTTCCCTATTTCGTACATGTTGGAGGTTTTTCAGACTTGTCCCGGTGAGGTATGAAGCCTGAATATCTCCCGTGGCAACGAAAAAAAAAATGACGGTGCGATTTCTGTGTTGTTAAAATTTCCAAATCTCTATGTGCATTTGTCCGATTTTTTTTTCAGAATGCAGAATGTGGGACTTTCTGCTGTCGCGCAGAGACTTTCAAAATGAACCGAGATAGTCGGGAAAGTCTGATCCAGCACAATAAGTGAGGGCCACTTTACAAAATTGTCTGAAGACGGTGTTGCTTAGGGAGTGAGAACGAGAGATTGTGTGAAGTGCGCATTTGTAATGTGAAAGGAAATTAAATCGTAAGCATTTATGCACTATTCTTTGTAAAACGTCTTCCTCGTATTGTCCATATTGGCGGGCTTTTCAAATCGGAAAGAAAACGTACTGGCATCGCAAATGTGGAAACATATTGTTGATCCAGTGCAATAGGGAAGGTGATTGCGAAATATTGTTTAAAGCAGTACTGCGCTCACCCAGAAAGAAATAGTGGTGGGATACTTTTATTGATATATCTGGGTGCTGATGTGAATTAAAATCAATTTTCAGCGGGTTCTTTCTTTTTGTTTCCGCTTATTCTTAAGGTTCAGGGAAATAAAAATAGCAAGATCAGAAATAGACAGATTCAACTAGGCCAGGGAACGAGACAGAGATTGTGTGAAGTATGCAGGTGTATTCTAAAAGTAAATTATCTGAAGTATGAACGCATTCTTTGTAAAACTGTTTTATACATTTTGGCGGGCTTTTCAAATCAGAAAGAAAGCGATTGATGATTTGGCGCCGGTATTTTCCGGCCTCCGCCCCGGGCCCTCTCCGGATTGGTGAGTGAAGCAGATATCTCATTGGGAATTGAAACTACATTAGGTGGTGCTGAGCAATGAGACCAATCAGCAATGGTCGCACCCCCATTCCTCCCGAAGGTATAAGGGGGCGGAATGTGGGCACATTGCATCATTCTCTGTGAAAGTGTGTCTGAGATTGTGGCAATGTCTACGAGAGGAAAGGGCGCTGGTGGGAAAGCTCGCTCGAAGGCGAAATCCCGATCGTCCCGGGCTGGCCTGCAGTTCCCGGTGGGCCGTGTTCACAGGCACCTGAGAAAGGGTAACTATGCTGAGCGTGTGGGTGCCGGAGCGCCAGTCTATCTGGCTGCGGTGCTCGAGTATCCGACGGCTGAAATCCTCGAGCTGGCCGGTAACGCGGCCCGGGACAACAAGAAGACCCGCATCATCCCCAGGCACCTCCAGCTGGCTGTGCGCAACGACGAGGAGCTCAACAAGCTGCTGGGAGGGGTGACCATCGCTCAGGGTGGGGTGCTGCCTAATATCCAGGCCGTGCTGCTGCCCAAGAAAACCGCCGCTGGGGGCGCCGCTAAAAAGTGAAGAGACCGTTATTTCATCTGACGACCCAAAGGCTCTTTTAAAGCCACCCACCGCGTTTGTGAAAGAAACTAGACTCTCACCACTGCCGAGTTAATTTTAATTTCCTTTGTATTACTGAGAGACCGTTAAAACAACATTCACCCCGCCATTATTGTTATTGTTAATGAGCTATAATCGCCTGCACGGATTGTATCCATGCGGCAGTTTCTTGTAATTGCACTGGAAAGATCTGACACCGGTGGAGGAACACCAATAAGTTTAGAAATTGGGAAATAATGACCCCGGTAGCCGCAAAGCGATTCAGTACAAGAAGGTGTGGAGCTGGATGAACACAGCAGGCCGAGCAGGAAGGCTGACGTTTCGGGCCTAGACCTTCCTTCAGAAAAATCCTGCTCCTCTGACGCTGTTTGGCCTGCTGTGTTCATCCAGCTCCACACGTTGTTCTCTCAGATTCTCCAGCATCTGCAGTTCCTACTATCTCTGAAGCGATTCAGTATCTCTTGACATGATGTATTCGACCAGATAAAACTATTTGCAGTACTGTACCCCCTCCGCATATGCTGCCTTTCCTCTTCTCGGGTCTCCGCTCTCAATGTAGGGTTTTGGGTGGCTCTGAAGAGAGAATGGAGGTTGTATGTTTCGCGCTGAAGCTGTTGTTGAACGTGTGCTGTATTTTGTGTTGAATGTTTGATTTAAAGATTTGCGATTGTTTAATTTCTTTTATTTCAACATTGGGTTTTTTGATGAATAAGCTGAAACGAGTATTTAAAACAAACTAGCATCTAATCGATGGTTCTGGCGATTTCAGTCTAGGATTACTGATACCAATGTTCATGGACTAGAATTTAATCCAGATATGACTGAATTACAGGCTTCAATATCCTTTCGCAATTTGATGTTGTACTGTTTGCAATGCTCCCTAGGTGGCACTGTATCATATCACATACAATCACGAGTAAATAGTGAATATGAGACATACACCTGCACCCAGCGGTGAGATGGCAGTGAATTAATCCACCCATGAGCTTTATTTGATTGCAATTCTCTTTTTTTTTATTTTATATTTTAGACAATCGAGATTTGAAAGTCATAACAGGTTAGTATGGAATTGGAGAAACTGTTTATTTGTGGAATGAACTCAAATGAGTGGCTGATGGAGTTTACATCA